CCCCCCCCCCCCCGCTAGAGTTCTGTCCATCTCTCTCTCTCTCTCTCAAAAATAAATAAACTTAAAAAATTAAAAAAAAAATAAAGAACAGCATTAGCCAAGAAACCAAAATATCCTCAGCAACAACAAAACAATAGGGTACCCGGACAAGCTAGCATTCAATCGTATAATTCTCTAAGTAAACTGATCTTATTAGTGATGTGCTACATTAGGTAATGATCACATAATCACATTGCCTGTTAATACCACTAGCTCCTTTTCCTCCAGTACCCTGCTCACCAAACCAGCTTTCCTGAGTCCCAGAACTTAAATTTAAGTCTCTACATCAAACCGACCTAATAGGCTCTGGTGTATCTTTCCAGCTCTTGTGAATTTGGCCTGTGTAAGTTAATCCCTGTGGACTTGATCTTTCCCAGGCACACTGATAACATCAAATGTATGACCCAGCCCCACGGAGCCAAACACAGACTGCCGTCTGTCCCAGAAGCAGTGGCATTCTCACTTGTGAGCCCTCTTTGAAGAGGGGCATCATTCATCACAGTATCTAAAGAAGCCTCCTCATCATTTTCTGGTTCTGAACGTATTTGTATGATACTCCAACCCTTCACCCTGTTTTATCGATCATCATCTAATATTATCTTTTTAATATTATGAATCTTTATTTGGCTGTCTGTCATCAGATGGCCCAAGAGAACATGAGCTTCATGAGGACAGCACTTTGTCCATTTAACTCCTTGCTGTTCCCCAGAGTTGTGCAAGGGCCTAATCCATGGATGTGCTCAATAAATTCTTTGAGTGAATAAATCAGTAATGACTGATTCTGCCCCAGGTCCAGGGAGTAACCTTTTTCGTATAAGCATCTTTTGGGTAAAAGCAGCTAGAGGTACAATAGGAGCAGTGGATGCTCTTGTATATTGAATATATAGTATGTTCTAGAAAGGGAATCAGAGTCCCAGCGTACATGAGTGTGCACACCTGTGTATGTCTGTATACGTGCTGTATGACCCATATTTGCAGGTTGCCCTTAAGAAAACTGAGACACTGCCCTCAGCTCTCTTGCCACAGCCAAAAATAGAACACGGTGTAATAGCAAGCGGGTTATGTTTTCTCAGAGCCTGAATTTCCAGGTTGACCAAGTCCTGTAAGGCTCTTTGGTCTCTGTCCTAGAAAGATATGTTTCCACAGTGCTAATCCCTCTATCAAAGGTAATCTCACCTTTATCCCACTGAGCAGTAATACCTATGAAATACGGTGGTATTATAAAGAATAAAATCCCTTTAATATTTAAAATTCATATGAAGGGGAATCTGGGTGGCTCAGTCAGTTAAGCATCCGACTCCTGATCTCAGCTCAGGTCTTGATCTCAGGGTCTTGGGTTCAAGCCCTACATTGGACTCCATGCTGGGCATGAAGCCTACTTAAGATAAAAAGAAAAATAAATAAAATAAAATTCTTGTGAACATTCTGGGGAATGGGTCCTGGTACAACATATTGTTGGGAAGGCAATTGAGAACTATGTGACTCTGATTCCCTTAAGTGTGTATCCATTGTTTCCATAGACAGTGTAATATATTTGTAAGGGTGGGGAATTGGTTAAGTTCTTCTCTGGGCCATGGTTTCCTCACTCTCACCTGCCCTCCCTAAGCCAGAGATATCACACAATTCAGATAAAAAAAAAAAATGGATGGGAAAATACTTTGTAAATTGTAAAGTGCTATAATTATGATCATTTTCTTAAATAGCATTAATTATAGTAACCAGTAACGATGAATTAATATGAATAATATACCTATTGTTAATTATTCTTCTTCTTAAAGGGATCATCATTCATTAAGTGTCCCCTTGGGGTATCAGTAAAGAGACAGAATTTAATCAGGTCTTCAACATCTGTACTTTACTGTAGCAGAGAGCACATCAACTGCCCTTGCTCTAAGTACTGGGAAGTCTAACCACAGAGACTGAAAAGTCACAGGATTATCCTGAGCTACACAATGAAACAAGTAATTATAGTGCTTAACCAGCCTGTACATGTAAGACTTCAGTTGGTATCCAGCCTCCTTGTCCTCACTTCTCTCCAAGCTGGGACTACTCCCCACTTAAAGTTTCTCAAATTAGGTTGATGCAATTCAACAAGTTCCAGCCTAATGCTATGGGATTTTGCTCTACGACCCCTGGCCCTTTGTTGCCCTACCTGACCTATTGATAAGAGCTCTGTTTCCATATTTCAATCCCTGTGAAGGATTACAACAGATCTCTTTCTCACTGCTGAGTCTCTAATTTATGCCTCAGTTCAAAATGGAAGCCCTACGCCAGCTCTCCTCTTAGTCTTCTCCTACAGAACCCTGAGATTCAGAAACTGTCTTACTACTCTTAACACTTTATAGTAGATGCCAGAGGGCACGGTCTTATAACCAGCTCACAGAATGGCCCACACTTAGCAACGTGTCTTCCTCACTTCCCATCACTGCAGCCGTACCAGTCGTGTGATGGTTAAATCACCTGCTCGAGGCCAAATGACAATGAGGAAGAGTCCCCTGACACTTTGCTCCATGCTTTTTCTGGATAGCACATGACTGCCTGTAAAGTGGTCACTGTAATAGCAATTCTCACATTCTTCAACCGTAACTAGAGAGATTCCAGTGTCTCAGTCCGGGTTCTGCCAAAAAAACAAAGCCCAAGACAAAGCTGGTGTACAGGTCACTTATTTTGGGAAAGACTCCCAGGAAAGAGGGCTGAAGGGCTAGAAGATATAAGTGGGGGAGGGCAGAAGGCCAATCCAAAGGCGCTATACTGAGGTGTCCAGCACTGTGGGCACTAGGACTCCCTTCTCCTGGGAGGGCTTTGAGGAGCCCTGTGAATCATGCCTCAGACCTCCGAACCTTAGGGATGAAAGAAGAGAATGTTTATCCTCAGTCTGCAGTTTTCCACTGGTTTAGGGTTGACTATGGGGTTATAAACTTCCCTATACTCATCCTAAGAAGTAGAATGGTGACAGAGAAGCTTTCAGTGGTCACTGTAGCTATGTGGTATGTGCAGGTGGGAAGAGAGGATGAGAGGCTGGATACTGACAGCTTTAAACCCCCATGAGTAACCCTTCCATAAGATATTATTTTCTATAAGATTCTTACTGTCGTTCATTAAATAAAAATATATGTGACAAAAGCTCACCAAACACAATTGGCACTTCTTATAACTTGGAAAATCATAATTCTTGGTGCCACTAGCAGAATTATAGGGTGATGACTTCCCCATCATCCTATAATAGTATTGTAATAGTAATAGTATTGAGCTAGGAAAGAGCATTCCCTTGTATTTATTTATTTATTCCTTCTTTTTTCTAATGTCTTATTTTTTTTAAGTTAAGCTCACAGGAGAGCTGAACAGGTAGTAAAATTAACTCCAACACATCTTTCCCCAAGATTCATCAACAGCCCA